TATAGTTCCCCAGCACGCAAGCCATTCAAGAGTAGGGAGAGGACGGTCTTGTCATCCATCTCTTCCACCTTGTCTACCTCTTCCTTCCACCGGGTAAGGAACTGAGTGAGGTTCTCAGACTCCTTCTGCCCGGCTGTACTAAGATAGGTGAACTTCTTCCTCTTAGTACAATTCTCTTGGAACTTGGCCTTGAATTTTGAGGCCAAATCACTGAACGAGTCAATGCTTCCCGGGCGAAGCTTATTGAACCATTCAGTGGCTCGGTTCCGCAAGGTTTGGAAGAAAAGTAGGCACTTTTCTTCATCGGTGCAACCGTTCATGGTCGCACTCTGGTTGAAGAAGTCTAGGTGGATTTCCGGATCTTCCTTCCCGGTGAATCTGGGGGCGTCGATCTTGACCTTTCGCGGGAAAGGTGTCAGATGGACCCTTGTGGTGAACGGGGACCCTGCCAGGGGTTTGTCCCGGTCATTCTTCTCCCCGACCTTCTTTTCCAGTCTTTCCAGCTTTGCCTCCATCTGCTGGATGCGGTCGTTTGGGATGGTTAACCGGTTCGCCACCGGTAACCTGGGCTGGCTTTCTGCCTCCCCTTCCTGGTGGGAGGCCCTCGTCCTCGCTGGCTCCTGCTGGTTAGACCGGGAGCGCCGGGTGCGGGCAGGCTCGGCCTCCCGCACCTCGCCTAGCCGGGCGAACGCGCTGACATGGGCAACACTCTGCCCCAGCCTCTGCTTGGCTGACTTCCTATGGCCTTCCTCCCTATCCCCCAGCCTTTCGAAGGCGGAGTTTCGGGAGGTCGCTGGCCGGATGTTTTTTCCTTTCTTCTTCTTGTGGGCCCTCGGGATGTCCCACTCGTCGTCATCGCTCTCAATCGAGACGCAATGACCGTCAGGAGTGACATGCGGATCCGTAGCTTGCGGGGGACGCGACGGCCCTGCAGCGTTAAGTGCACCGGCCAAGTTGACAGGGGCCATGGTGCTGACCAGCTGGGGCTGGAAAGGTGATGGTTGCGGCATCGGCGTCTAGAACGACGTCACCGCCATCGGAGCTTGTAGGGGCATGGTTCCCGCGCCTGGAAGGGCGAATGGGAACATACCAGGGAGGAAAGGCATTCCCCCGTTCTGTTGGCACATGGCCATGACCTGGCCAAAGCCCTGGATGGCTTGTAGGTTGGCTGGGTCATTCATGAACTGAGTCATGCTTGGTGGGAACGTTACCCTCGGTCCAGCGGAAGGGACGGGGGTCACGAAGGGACTGATCACGCTGGCCGTCGGGACAGAGCTCAGACCCAAAGGCAACACCGGGGCTGAAATGACCGGTATGG